CTCGCCTGCTTGCCCCTGCACCCCAACGCTGCCGCCGCGTCGGAAGGTGCAGGCCTTAGGGGGCCGCTGGCTGGGGATGAGATCAGTGCGCGGAGCAGCCTTCCTGCGTGGCTTAGGGTCTGGCGCCCCCTTGTGGCCACGGACCAAGGCTGTCTTTGCACAGGGGCTGAAGGCTTAGCAGGAGGCCGCTGGCTGGGCGGGCGGAGAGATCACCTAGACCCACGGTGGACTTTACAAGGTCTACTGGGAACCCAAGGACTTGAGGATAGAAGAGGAGGGTGCAGGAGCCAGAGGGGGTGGAATAGGCCGAAGGCCCTTGATTGGGAATTTTGAACTGGACTCTGATTTAGCTCCTCCTCCACGGTGGGTGACTGTGTGAGCTGGTGTCCCTGCGAGGCATGATTTCCAGTTTGGGTCTTGGACTCGATCCCAGTGCACTCTGGGCTCCTAGCATCCGTTTGCTCATGGGTGGGGAGAGGCTCTGGCTTTGCCCACTCCCACCCTCATCTACTCCCATATTTGGGGATGTTTTCACAGAGGAAATGCAAGCTTGGTTTCTCTGGCAGGTGTTACGGTTGAACCGGCATTTCTGGGCTCGTTGTCTTCCGCTGCACGGGCCATGGTGGGCAGAGGGGCTTGTGGCTTGGAGAACATGGGGGTGGAGGGGCGGATCAAGTTGCTTCCTCTGCCCTGGTAGGGCAGGCCTGGGTGAATCTGAGTGTCGCTGTTACCTTGGCCTGGGACCTGGAAGCATAGGCTTGGCTCTGCTACATAATCATTCCTCCACCTTGAGCCGCCTTCTGAGTCTAGGAGAGGTGGAGGCTGTGGTCTGAGCGTACCCCTGAGAGAATATAGATTTGTGGTCTGGCCCCTGTGGGAGTCGGTGGCCCACAGTATTGTGCGTTGCAGGTGCCACATCTGGGCAGAGCTGAGTTTTAGAGCACAGAGACCACAAGCTGACCTGGGAGACCCATGGCACCAAGGCTCCACCGGCCACAGGGCAGGTCTGGGTGCTGGTGTGGAGCCTCTGGACCCGAAGCCCTGCTTCATCACCTTCACCCGTGCGCCCTCGTCCCCCAATGCTCTGCCTCCCGGGCCATCATCCAATCTGATTAATCTGACCCTCCCCTCTGCCCTAGATTCAGAGTCTGACTTCCCAGCGCCTCCCAACTACTTGTGACCACATGTCCTTAGGGCCAGCCTCCCACCCAGGCTCTTGCTACCGCCACTTTGTCTAGTCGGTCTTCTCTTTCAGGCCCCAAATTCTGATGTAGCTTCCCTCTCCTTTGTCTCTTTCTCTTTCCATTCTCTCCTGCAGAGCTCTGTCTGTCTCTCTGTCTCTTCTCTCTGTGTGTCTGTCTCTGTCTCCCTCTCTGTCTCTCCATCTCTGTTTCTCTCTGTCCCTGTCTCCGACTTTGCCTGTCTCTTTCTTTCTCTCTGTTCCTCTGTCTTTCTGTTTCTGTCTCTCCCTATCTCTCTGTCTCTGTCTCTGTGTGTCTCTCTGTCTCTGTCTCTCTCTGTGTCTCTCTGTCTCTGTCTCTCCATGTGTCTCTCTGTCTCTGTCTCTCCATGTGTCTCTCTGTCTCTGTCTTTCTCTGTGTGTCTCTCTGTCTCTCTCTGTGTCTCTCTGTCCCTGTCTCTGACTTTGTCCGTCTCTTTCTTTCTCTCTGTTCCTCTGTCTTTCTGTTTCTGTCTCTCCCTATCTGTCTCTGTCTCTCTGTGTCTCTCTGTCTCTGTGTCTCTCTGTCTCTGTCTCTCTGTCTCTGTGTGTCTCTCTGTTTCTGTGTCTCTCTGTCTCTGTCTCTCCGTGTGTCTCTCTGTCTCTGTGTGTCTCTCTGTTTCTGTGTCTCTCTGTCTCAGTCTCGCCATGTGTCTCTCTGTCTCTCTCTCTCTGTGTCTCTCTATCTCTGTCTCTCTGTGTGCCTCTCTGTCTCTGTTTCTCTCTGTTTCTGTCTCTCTGTCTCTGTGTCTCCCTGTGTGTCTCTGTCTCTGTCTCTCTGTGTGTCTGTCTCTGTCTCTGTGTCTCTCTCTCTGTGTCTGTCTCTGTCTCTGTGTCTCTCTGTCTCTGTCTCTCTGTGTGCCTCTCTGTCTCTGTCTCTCTGTGTGCCTCTCTGTCTCTCTGTCTCTGTGTCTCTCTGTCTCTGTCTCTGTGTGTCTCTCTGTCTCTGTCTCTCTGTGTGCCTCTCTGTCTCTCTGTCTCTGTGTCTCTCTGTCTCTGTCTCTCTGTGTGTCTGTCTCTGTCTCTGTGTCTCTCTGTGTCTGTCTCTGTCTCTGTGTCTCTCTGTCTCTGTCTCTCTGTGTCTCTCTGTCTCTGTCTCTCAGTGACCCCATAGCTTTCCGGGTCAGGTACAACAACCTCCCTGCCCCTTTCCTAGCCCCTCCCCTGGTCCTTTGATTTTGGGAACTTACAGATGGAGGCCCAGAGAGAGGCAATGACTCATGGTAAGTGGCGCAGCCAGTAAATGACAGAACCCGGAACAGAACAGAATTCAGGGCCCTGTTTCACTTCAGAGCCTCAGTTTCCCCAGGTGTTAAATGATGACAACCAGACCTGCCCCACGAGGCACGGCGGGGCCTCCGGAAGATGCCCGGCCTTCAGTGCCTGGCAAGGCTGGCGTCCCCGGCCTCTCCACGCTGGCCCCGACACCATCCCCGCTGCGGTGCCTCCCTCCCCTTAGTTTTCTGCAGGGTTGTTCTCCGCTCACTCCAGGGAGTGTATGTGCAGAAAATAAGGTGTCCATCCCAGCCCCCTAGGTGGGTCTTTTCAGAGATCCAGTCCCTTAAAGGCTCTTAGGAATCTAGAGAAGCAGCCATCAGGTGTTCATCAGGTGTTGGATGGGCTCACTGTCACCAGCACGTGTGGTTCAGGTCACACCGATGGTTCAGGTGGGCTGCTTTGTGTCCCGATGCCCACTCTGGGGGACCCAGGTGCCCACTCTGGGAGCCCACTCGTTCCTCTGTGGGTCCAGTACACGCTTAGCGCACAGGAGGGAGGCCCACTGTTTTGGACCTGGAGAGGGGCATCAATTACAGTTTTAAATTATTTTACAAATGTATGTTGTTGCGTCTTTGCCTCTAAAGCATGGGCTTCTCTAACGTGGATGCAAGGTTCTTGGGCAACACCCACTTCTCCCTTTGCTCCCAGGGGGCGGGGGGAGGCCCCTCCCTGTGAGCCTCTCAGGAATCCGGTGTAAACGTGGACATGAGCTGCCTTCTCTGTGTTGTGACAGTGCTGCCCTGCAGGAGTCTGAGCACTGGGGGCAGGAGTCTTCCTTCTGCATCCACAGCCACTGGGGAGATGGCGTGAACACAAACAAGCTCAGGTGTCCGTGAGAGACAGAGAAGACACGAGAAGTGGGGGGCGGGGAGAGAGACCGGGCGGTGGGACAGGAGGGGCGGGCAGGACCCCATGAGCTGAGGGAGGGGCTCGGATTTTATTCTGAACGTGATGGGAAGCCACGGGAGTGTTGAAAGAAGGTGGTGACGTGACTGCATTTGTGATTTTCACAAAGCACCTTGGCTGCTGTGCAAAGAATGGGTTGTTCTGGGGCAAGAGTGGACCCTGGGAGACCAGTTAGGAGGCTTCTGCTTTGATCCAGGAGAGAGGGGTGGTGGCGGGGACCAGGCTGGCGGTGGTGATGGGGACAGAGAGAAGGGACCATCCAGCAGCCCCAAGTAGGCCCCTGACGGTGCTTGAGGACAGTGGGGACTCTGTAGGGGGGTCAACCATGCTCTCAACCTCTGTGATTCCGGCTCGGCCGTTTAAAAGACACAATGATATACATTCCCAGGGGGCGGCCAGGGACGCAGTGTGGTTCTGTCCTGTTGTCTGTGACCTCAGTTTATGGTGCATATTCTTGATCCTAACTAGGCCTGCAAAGCTGTGCTTTCTGAACCTTGCTTTTGTCCCGGCGCTGCTGGCTCCTCTGGGCCTGGCCTGGCCCCAGAGACGGCTGGCTGGCTTGGTTGCTACCTTCCATCCTCCCCTTGACTGTGGCTTGGAGACAAGCTTCCAAAGTTTAGGTGAAAGTGAGGCAGGCCTGGGGGCTTTCTCACGTGGACCTGGATACATGCCCAGCACGCGGATTATCTCCCTAATCTTCCCACCAGCCGTGTGATGCTGTGATTCTGCTGTGTGAAAGAAGAGTAACGAGGACACAGAGTTGGGTAATTAGTCCAAGGTCCCACAATGAGCAGATGACAGAGCCGGGATTTGAACCCAGAGCCTGTGCCCTCTGCCTGTACCTGCTCCCTTTGTCCCTTGTCCCTCCCCGGTGGAGTGGGCTCAGTGGTTTGTGTGACTGAGTCTTGGGCTGTACCTGGATGGAGGCTCCATTGCAGGCCGTCCCTAGTGTAGAGGGATGGAGGCTCCATTGCAGGCCGTCCCTAGTGTAGAGTGGGGCACGCATGAGCTTTGGTGTCCAACAGCCTGGGGCTGCCTCCTGGTTGCTCCGCCATCCAGGGCTGGAGCCTGTGCAAGTGAGTCCTGCCTGTCTGTCCTACGTGGGAACTACACCTGCCTGTCGCCTGGGACCCAGGTAACACGCAGTAGCCAGCCAGCCAGTGATACTTAGTAGGAGCTTCATAAAAGCTAATTCCCTTCCCTCCTCCTCCAGAGAGGTGAAAACCCTGCAGGAAGGTTCCCGCTGGGACCCTGAACTTCAGCCAGCCCACCTGCTCCCTGAGCTCACCTGTGATGCTTCCCTGGCAGGCCTGTGAGATCACCTGGTCCCACTCTTCCATTTCTTATTTTACAGATGAGCAAAGTGAGGCCAGGGAGGGGACAACTTGCCTGGGACCCGTTCCCTGGCCTGCCCCCACCCCACCCCACCCCGAAGCCTCAGCACCCCATCTGTGGTCTGGCAGAACCCCTGGAGCTGGTCCAAGCACCAGAAAACCTCAGCGCCGAGGAGGGGATGCTAGTCTGTGGGGACGGCCTGACCCTCCCACAGCTCCCACGCCGACCCACGCTCTCTGTGTTCTGTCCTGTCTCTCGGCAGGTATATCCGCACCATGTACCTGGGGATTCAGAGCCAGCGGCAGAAGGAACACCAGCGACGCTTCTACTGGGCTATGATGTACGAATATGCAGACATTAACATGCTGCGCCTCCTGGAGACCTTCCTGGAAAGCGCCCCCCAACTGGTGCTACAGCTCTGCATAATGATCCAGAAGAGCCGCGCCGAGACGCTGCCCTGTGAGTCCCCTCCCCCTCCCCGGGGCTGGGGGCATCGCCCTGATCCCCGAGTCCTCACTCCCCGCACAGGATTTCTGTGCCCCTGCGTGCGAGCCTGCCCCGCCGTCACGTGAGTGGAGCAGAGCCGGGTCTCAGTGTCCCTGGAGCAGCAGGGCGGAGGGCCCTAGTCTCCCAGTCCAGGGGGAGAGGCCCCTTGTCTTGGCGCTGGCCTGAGCCAAGGTGTTTGCACATATGCGGGATATGGGGAAGATGCCTTAGGGCAGCACGTGCCCAAGAGGCTAGATCACGTCAGGCGGCATTAGCAGTTTTAGACGTTTTTAAGCTGTGGTGCTCTTGCTTTAGACCCATGTATAAAATGTAGAAGCCCCACTTATAAAACAGGCTCAGGTAGCTCTGTTCTAGGTAGATGGGGATGGGGGTCCAGAGCCCAGCGTGCCCCGCCCACTGGCCGCACCTCCCCACTCCTGGCCCCTGTGGCCCCAGATGGTCTTGGAGCACCCAGGGCCGGGTCTGGACAGCACTGGTCTCTACAGCAGCGGGAAGCCTCTGGGGGCCACCAGACTGCCCAGGAAGACCTTTCCACATTGGCCTCCTCTGGTCAAGGTGGAGTCTCACCCCAGGTCGCCAATGTCAGGGCAGACCCCAGGTCAGACCAGCCTGCAAGTGTCATCGTCGTGTCAGAGCCCATTTCAGTACGGCTGGAGCGCCAGCAGGGGGGAAGGCCTAGGGTGACGAGGGGCTGGAGATCACAACACTTGGGGGACCCTGGGGACGTTTTGCCTGGGGAGGACTTGAGCTATGTGAATTTCAACATTTGAAGGGATGTCAGGGAAGGATGATGGTTCCAAAGGGTCTGGAGGGAGCTACAGGGAGACCGTTATCGATTCTACATGTGGGAGACATTTCAAACAGCAGGAGCCATCCAGTGATGGAAAGACTGTCTCAGGAAGTAGAGAGTTTCCCGTCGCGAGGAATATTCAAGCAGAGCTCTTGCCACAGGGACTCAGCCCAGAGGTTCCTGACTCAAGAGGGCTTGAGCATGTGTGATCTGGAGTAGCAAGGCAGCTGGGGCAGAGGGTCTGTTCTCCATGTCCACCTCTCCCTGGCCAGTGGGGCCTGCTGGCCTCCTGGGTCCTCACCTCTGGGCCCACAGCTCCCCAGCTGCTCCAGCGGGCCCTGGGTGCTACCAAGTTCATGAGCACCTGTAGGGGGGCTCTCCAGCGGGACACCCCCTTGCCCCACGTGGACCCAAGCTCTGGCCTTTCATTGAACTGCTATGCCTCTTTGGTATAATGGGGGAGATGACAACCACACCTAATTTGGGGGGAATGCAATGATACACGGCATGTAGAACACTTTGTTATCCAGCTCTGCAGGCATCTAAGGGGGTGTGTTTCACATTGCCAGGGAAATGGTGTGGGCAGGCTCCTAGGGTGATCCCCCATCTTCTGCCCCGTGAGTCATGCTGCCCCAGCTGCCTTGCTGAGCCCACTCTTTCTATGATCACTGCTCAGGTTATAAATGCAGAGAGGCTGGATGTGAAGTCCCCAGAGAGGAAACTCGAGGGGCAGCCGATGTTGCTTCCTAGGGGTCCTCCTGACGTGGGAGCCCAGGCGGCCCACGTCAGCAAAGGCTAGGGGGCCGCTGGGCAAGCCTTTGTCAGCAGGAGCCTGGGAGTGACAAGAGCCAGGCTACTTTGGCCTGGGGAAGCACTCCCTGGCTCTTCTGCCCACATGCCCGTCTTTCCATGCCAGCGGCTCAGAGGTTGGGGGAGCACTTCCCCACGTGTTTCGTGAGTGGAATAGTTATTTCTCGAAACAGACTTGCACAGTTAAATACATTTGGGGACTGCTGGGCCTGACAGAGGTCAGTGGCAATCTTTGCTGTTGGGTTGTGAGTCCCCAGGATGAGGGTCTGCAGGGCTGGCTGGGGTGATGGTAAGGAAGGAAACCGGCCGTCACTGTCATGGAGCATAGACTGTAAGCTCTTGGCGTGTTCCTTTTTCCTTTTTTTTTTTAAAAAAATTTCAACCCTTTATTTAATTAATTCATTTATTTGGGGGGCACATCGTGCGGCATGTGAGATCTTAGTTCCCCGACCAGGGATTGAACCCGTGCCTGCTGCAGTGGAAGCGCGGAGTCTTAACCGCTGGAGCCAGAGAAGTCCCATGTTCCTCTTTCTTAACTTCTAGAATATCTGCTCATCACTGGACTCTTGTGTTATGGTGGTAGATGCCTTCCCTCTCTTTTCCCATAAAAAGCTGCATGAAATGTATGCCCTTTAAAGAAAACCATTTTAAATAGTAGAATTTGGAGGAGACGAGAGAAAGCCTGTGAACTTGGAAGGGACGTGTTGGCGACATGGACCCTGTGAGTTCTTAGAGGACCGTGACCTGGAAAGATGGGGCGACTCCGCCTGCTGCTTGACAGCTGTGTGACCTTCAGCAAGTGAACGAGCCTTTCTGTTCCTCAGTTTTCTCATTTCTGAAGTGGGGATACTATTGGTACCTACCACAGAGGGTTGTTCTGAGCATTTTTGACGTGATGAATGTCAAGGGCCTCGGGCCGCATCTGGTCATTTTGTGGTTGGTGATGGTCGAGCTTTTACTGCGGATACAGTTTCCGAATTGGACCACGAGTTACTAGTGAGATCGTGGCTAACTGGCCTTGTTTGGTGGGATTTTGGTGACACCTGTCCACTCTATACCATTCATGCTAGTAGATGGCTAGAAAGATCACTGTTGCTGTAATAGGTGAGTTTTCCATGGATCTTGTCCAATGCCAACCTCTTCCACTTTTGCTACTTTTGCCAGCTATCCACCTTTTATTCCTCTTTTATCACTGGGTTAGCAGTACAGTATTTGGCCTGCAGGATGGATTTGTGTCCAATTTACCCACAAAACCAGACTCAAGTCAAAATATAATACTGGGTTAGCCAAAAAGTTCGTTTGGGTCTTTCCGTAACACCTTAAGGAATCTTACGTAAAAAACCCGAACGAACTTTTTGGCTAACCCAATAGTAACAGTAATAATAAATCATGGAAATCTTATGCTAGAGTCATTTGGGTACGTCAGTGGGGTCTTCCTTAAATCTGGTGTCTTGAAAGTTTAAATAAAGATATAAAAGGGCCATGTTATCTGATATGCCATTTACACTAGTAGTGAGTCTTTTGTCTGCTGAAAGCTTCACGAGGCTTCTGGGCTGTGACAGAGTTTGGAAAGCAGTCCTGAATAGTGAGAAAAGCCCGACAGAGCTGCGTATAAATTCCACCTCCGCCATTTATTGGCTTTACGACACGGGGCAAGTTAATTTCCTCACTGGGCTTCTTAATCTGTAAAGTGGGCATAATAACGGCTTTTGGGTGGTTGTGAAGGTCTGATGAGCTGCACATACCCCTCTACAGCACCTTGGCTGGCGTATTATGGGCACTTGATACAGTCTGCCGTTCAACAAGATGCATTAAGTCAGGAGCCATACTACGTGCTGAGGTTAACAGGGAACACAACAGATGGGGTCCAGGCCCTCATGAACCTTCCATTCTCTCTTGGGAGACATAACAGAAACAGCTAGACAGCTAGCACGCTGTGGGAAGTGCTTTAAGCAAACAATCAGGGTGCCAAGACCACAGTACATGGGGTGGGGTGTGGAGAGAGCTTATTTGGGCAGGAATGTCAGAGAAAGCCTCTCCAGAGAGTTGACATTTCGGCTGAGCATAAACACTGAGGAGCCAGCTATGGGAGAAGCAGATACAGCCTTCCAGGCAGAGGGAACGGCATACGTAAAGGCCCTGAGATAGGAAACGCCTGGCTTGTTCTAGAAAATGAAAGGACTCAGCATAGCTGGAGGTTGGCGGTCCGGGGAAGGAGAGCGGTGTGGGGAGGATGGACGGGAAGGCGGAGGCCTGACAGCTTGGGTTTGTACCAAGTGCCGCGGGGAGCGTTACGTAGGAAATCTTTTAAAGAAGATTCCCTTTCCTGCTGTGCAGGGAGGAATACAAGAGCTGAGCCAGGAACGCCGGTTAGAGGCAGCGGTGGAGGTCCAGGGGTGAAACGATGGGGTTGGAGTGTTTGGGGGTGGAAGCCAAGTGCACGGGTTGGAGGGCTGCCCTGGAGCAGAAATCAACAAGACTTAGCAGGCCTGGTGCAGGCAGTGATAGAAGGAGGGCTGGGGGTTTCTAACAGGGTATGTTGAGGTTGAGGACACTCTACGGGGATCGGGTCAAGAGTTCGTAGCTCTGTCACCTTTCCTGGCCTTTTGGGTTTTCTGACCCTTCCACGTGAACGTTGGCAGGGCTGGGCGAGCCCCACTGGCGACATCCACACAGCACCTGAGCCTGCCTTTTGGGGTTGAGCTCACTGTGAGGAGTTATCCTCCTTACAGGGCTCTGATGACCACTCGCCCGCCCGTGGCCTCACGACCCCACTTGTCAGGCACCTGCTCTGCCCTAGGCAAGATGCTGTGTCAGGAATGGGTTTGCAAAGATACCTACCCTTCGGTAGGTGTTCTTAAACACCAAGCCCTTAAGCATTGGTTTTCTTTTAAACAAACGTTGAGCTCTAAGATCCAGATAGGCCTCTTGTCTTTCCATCCCTTTGGTGTTAACCTCCCTAGTAGTTTCCTTCTTTCTTAACCTCACTTGTCAGCTCCTCTTACATCAGAAGCCCACCAGGGGCGTGTACCTTATCTTCACATTTGCTCCTTTCTCAGCAAGACAGCGCTGCAGAGAGGCAGGTGTTCGTCCGGTTTCTCTGCTCCCGTCTGTACCTTTTTCTTCAGCTGCCACCCCAGGAGCTCTTCCTCCTTTCCCGAGTGAGGACGAAAGTCATCCCAATCAGCTCCCTCTCTGGGCTTCCTCTCCGGATCAGGTTTCCATTCTGCGTGAGGGCGAGGCTTCCAGGTTCCGCTTCTTGGGGGAGCGAAGGCCAGGGTCTGCTTCTCAGCTGTGGGCTTGGTTAAACGGCCCTCCCTGCCTTCCCCTCTCCACCGTGAAAGACGTCCAT